GTGGGGCGCTGGAGCGGGGGGCGCGGGGGGGCTGCACCGCGTGTGGGCTCCCAGCCCCGGCGGTGCCCTGACCCTGTGCGTTCCTGTGGCAGCGAGAGCAGCGGGGAGATCCTCAACAACTGCTGCGTGATGGAGTACCACCAGGCCACCGGGACGCTCAGCGCCCACTTCCGCAACATGGTGAGCGCCACCAGCGCCCCCCGCCCCCTGCTCGCACCCGCCGTGTCCCCCTGTGGTCGCCCCTTCTATTGCTGTCTGTGCTGCATCCCTCTGTCTTCGTCCCTTGTATCCCCGTCGGTGTTGCATCCCCGCTGCGTTCGCCTCGGTGTCGCCGTCTGTCCCCCCGTGCTCACCCCTCCTGTCCCTGCAGTCCCTGAAGCGGATCAAGCGCTCGGACCGCCGCGGGGCCGAGTCGGTGACAGAGGAGAAGTTCACTATCCTCTTTGAGTCGCAGTTCAGTGTTGGTGGCAACGAGCTGGTCTTCCAGGTGAAGGTAAAGCCACCAGCAGCCTCCCCTCTGCAGGGCCCGGGCGACCCATGGGCACTGTGCCCATGGGTGTGGGGCTGGGCTGGGGGCACGGGGTGCCCGTGTGGGGCAGGGTGGCCTGGGGTGCCCATGGGCGATGCTCCTGCGGTGCCCCACAGCCCATCCTGGTCTCCTTCCTCCCGGCAGACACTCTCCCTGCCCGTGGTGGTGATCGTGCACGGGAGCCAGGACAACAACGCCACGGCCACCGTGCTCTGGGACAACGCCTTCGCCGAGCCCGTGAGTGCCAGTGCCAGGGGGGGCAGGACCGGTCCCATCTGCCCCGGGGGGCTGCGGGAGTTGGGCTCAGTCTCCCAGCGGGGAGAGGCGGTGGGCAGAGCTGGGTGCCGACCCTGCTCCGTGCCCCCCAGGGCCGCGTCCCCTTCGCCGTGCCCGACAAGGTGCAGTGGCCGCAGCTCTGCGAGGCGCTCAACATGAAGTTCAAGGCGGAGGTGCAGAGCAGCCGTGGGCTGACCAAGGAGAACTTGGTGTTCCTGGCACAGAAGCTCTTCAACAGCACCAGCTCCCACCTGGAGGACTACAGCAGCACCACGGTGTCCTGGTCCCAGTTCAACCGGGTGAGCGGGCTGGGCTGTGTGCTGGGAGAGCTGCAGAGCCCCGGGGTCCCGCTGTGCTTTGGGACAGGGGCTGTGCTGCGCCCGCAGTACCAGTGCTTGTGCCGGGGGAGGGGGCTGGATGGGGCACGTCCCTCCCAAGGAGCCGTTTCTTGCTGAAGTGATGCAAAAACGAGACGGCCGTCGGCTGTAACAGGGTGGGAGATACCGACTTCTTTGCTTGGAGGGACACAGGGTGCTGTCGGTCCCGCAGACGGGGTCTGCGTCCTCGGGGGGGGCATTGCTGGCGCTCCCCTGGGGCTGTGCCGCCTGGCCGGGCTGACCCACGCCTGGTTCGGCAGCGCTGGCGGCCGTCCCGCAGTCCAGGGCATAGAATCATAGAATGGTTTAGGTTGGAAAGGACCTTGAAGATCATCGAGTTCCC